AAACCCGTTAGTTTTTGGTAACCCTAAATCCTCATTAAATTCGGATTAACATTACTTGCTTCCAAAGCAACTAATGACGGCCCAACCCTAATGAAACCCTAATCGTGTTTAATATATAAACATCTCTTCCTCTACAGAAGAGGGTTACGATCTTAAGCTCTCGTTTTTATCAGACTTTCACAGAATCCTCAAGCATATTGGCTTACGTCTTATGTGCCTAGAAACGTAAGTGTCCACTTGGATTATCCTAGGCTGAATTTCTTGTAACTCAGGCATAGGGTAGAAATATCAGTTCGGAAAGTGATATCACGATCCAAGTTGGTATCCAGATCTCCACCACAAACCCTAAATTTCCCAACAAACTATACTTAGAATTCTAAGCAATGCACTTTTATTTTTTATTCAATTAAAATCTAACCTATTAAGATAATGTACTTTATTATTTTCCCAATTAAGACACCGAACTTTCAAAATAACGTTATTTAAAATTTGAACCTAATAAGATATTGTATGTTTAATTTTTGCCTTTTAAGATTTTATACTTTTCGAATTTATAAACCTAATAAGCATTGCATTTGTTTGATTTTGGTTACTTATCAAGACTTTGTACTTTTAGTTGTTTATATTAGAACATTTTTCTTTGAAAATATAAAATTGTTCTATTCTGATTACCAATTATAGCATATTACTTTCTATTATTTTTTCATATTAAGATCTTTTAGTTTAATTTATTACAGAGACATTATTACCTTCTACTACAACATTATAATTTCAAATTCTAATATATTAAAACAATGTATTTATATTATATTTCCTATTAAGATATTTTACTTTGAAAATTTAAACATGTTTGACTTTGGTTTGAAAATATAAGGCATGTTTGATTTTTTGCTATCAGTTTTATTTTCCTCTTAAGAAACTATAGAAATCTAACCAATTATACTTCCTTTTTTTTCATACATAGTATTATACTTTCAAAACCAACCAATTACAGCATTATAAAAACTAACCTATTTATAATTTTTATATTCATTTTATGAGCTTGCATATATCCTTTAACAACCCAAGAGTACCTCTTTCACCAACTTATCCAATCTTAGCCAATGTACTTTGGACAAATGGTTAAATGGGCCATTTGTCACCATTAGTGTTTCACTCATTTTCCAAACACATTTTATACATCGAGTAATGTTTAGGGTTCATGTTTGCCAACTTATCCAAAATCTGGCTACAATAATACAACATTTCTCCTTGTGGGTGTACACGATCTCCACTTTGTTGTTGTCTATATTTGGTTGTTGAGTTTGCACTTGTTTATGAACCTAAGTGTTTGATATTTTCTTTAATGTGTTTTGCATCGGTTGAGATATGTTCAAAATGCTCTGATATATAGTCATTTGGATCCGCACTAATCTCCCACGAGTATGTATATACAATTAATCTTTGTAACAGTTTTAACATTTTAGTATAAATAATAAATGGAATAAAAAACCACAAATTTCAAATATGTATTTTTAATTAAAATTCTTATTCATATAACTTGTATAAGGAATATACAAGGAAAGTAGAAAAATCAATAAAAATTTCAACTGAATCAGGTATCAAATGGAAAAAAACAAGACAAAGAAAACGATATGGTCTCCTTCACGGTAACGGACAAATAATGAGGCGTCAGATTATCCGTCTTATTATTTTCCCACCAAACGAATTAATATATAAATTAACGTTAACTTGCAATATGCGCCCATATAAAACCGGCCTACGAACAAATTGATCCCTTTACTTTTGATTTAAAATTTTGAGGTACTACTTTCTTGTATTTTCGGTCATGAATTTCTTACTTTGTTACGAAATTATTATTTTATTGTATTGATTTTTATTTTTATCTTCAAAAACCCAACTAATCGCCAAAATTTCATATTATTTTGAATTTTTATGAATAAAATAATTTGACAATAATATAAATTGTTAAAAATCTAAAGCAACTCTCACACACACACAAACTCACCAGATTCTACAGATTCTTCTCTCTGTGTCGTGTATCAGATCCTTCCGATTCCATCAATAATTTATACCTTCTGCTCTCGCCGGCGCTCCAATTTTTTGTTAAATTTATGTATATTTGTATATATAAATCGATAATATCCATGTACCTATGATTCTGTAAAGTTAGAGTCTCATACTGGAGATATCAGGGATCAATCATTAGTCGAATCAATAGATGGCCACGGATGAAGAATCACCGCTTGTTGACCAGAATCAAAATGGAACTCAAACGCTTAATCATAGCAGAGACATTCATATTCTGAGCTGGGCGTTCTTGTTGATTTTCCTTGCTTACGGCGCTGCTCAGAATTTGCAGAGCACACTCAACACTGTGAGTTTCCTTTTTCTGGTTCTGCATATATAATTTTCAGTTTAATTATTGTGTTAAATTTGCTCGATGTTTGTATGCATCAATTTTTATCAGAGAGAAGTTGGATTAAGGACTCTATCCTTTCCACCTTTTTCGGTCAATGATTGTATAGAGTTATTGAGAAAACTTTGCTAAGTTCAATATTAAATTGGCAACAAATCGATATCAATTTGGATTTGAGGAGTCATAATGTTGACCTCAAAAGTCAAGATATATGTTTTGAGGGAATGGAGTCGTAGTTACAGATGGTTGGTTGATTATTTTGTGTAGAAGATGTATAAGCCTTAAGTGACTAGGTCTTCTGAGTTTGCTGTCAATAACTTTGTAAATTGATAGCTGTGGCATATCAGGATTGAGGGAGAAGAAATCAGATATGAATGGTTATATAATCTTATGTGATCATTAAATGTTTTGTGTTATTACAGGATGGAGATCTGGGAACAATTTCACTTGGCATATTGTATACATCTTTCACAGTTTCTTCACTGTTTGCCTCTTGGGTTGTTAGAAAACTTGGATCAAAGAATGCTCTGCTTCTTGGTACTACAGGTTACTGGCTGTACATAGCTGCAAATTTAAAACCATCCTGGTAATTATTAGTATTGCAATGCTGCTACTAAATCCATGATTTACTTATAATTGCTAACTTTATTTTTAACAAATTCCCATTTCTTTTGTATCACAGTTAAATGTCTTCTACTCTTCTGTCAATTTGTGATATAATTTTAATTCTATCATTTTCCTCCCTCATAGGTATACAATGGTGCCAGCTTCTTTGTACCTTGGATTTGCTGCTGCTATTTTATGGGTCGGGGAGGTACATATCTATTGTTTTGAGATCCTTTTAATTTTATAAATTCAAAAGATGTTTACAATATTTTGGACATGTAAGAGTAATATATTTGTTGCTTACTATTTGACTATATCTTTGTATATCAGGGGACATACCTTACCTCTGCTGCAAGGAGCCAAGCAATTGATCACAAGCTACATGAAGGAACTGTAATCGGTCATTTCAATGGAGAATTTTGGGCGATTTTTGCTACTCATCAGGTGTAGTTTAAACTTTCAGTTAACAAAGTCAAAGGTAATTATTTATTAATGCTGGGAACTGATAAACTAATTTCTTTTTGTATTGATTTTTTCAGCTAGTTGGAAATCTTTTGACTCTTTTTCTGTTGAAGGATGGAACTGTAAGAATCTATAACTAAATTAATCCCATTAAATTTGCTTCAAACAATCACTTCCTTTTTTTTTAATTATTATTTAATTGTTTGCAGGAGGGAAGTACGAGTGGCACAACTTTACTTTTCACTGTCTTTCTTGGAAGCATGACCTTGGGAACTTTTCTAATGGCATTCTTAAAGAAAAGGGACAATGAAGAAACAGATGAACAAAGAGATTCCTCTCTTAGTTTCTATTCTTTCCTAATATCTTTATGGAAGCATGTGATAACTCCTTTATGTGACGCAAGGATGTTATTAATTGTTCCACTTATAGCATATTCAGGTCTACAACAAGCATTTGTCTGGTATGCATAAGTCAACTTACAATACTATCAATATAAAATTTCCATTTCATTTCTCTTCAGTTAACCTTGGATTCTATTTTTTTTTAATCGTTTTAGGGCAGAGTTCACAAAGTTTTTTGTTCAGCCATCTCTTGGTGAGTCAGGTGTAGGTGGTGCCATGGCTGTATATGGCGTTTTTGATGCGATTGTAAGTGAAATTTTTCTAAGTAAAGGAACTATTTGTGTCATTGTGTGAACTATAAGGACTAAATTTGAAACTTGTATCAGTGTTCTCTAGCTGCTGGTCGGTTTACATCAGGTCTCACATCAATCACTGTGATTGTTTCTGGTGGAGCTTTTCTTCAGTGTGGTATATTGATATGGCTCCTGAATTACAGGTGATATATTCTCCTGTTAGTTTTTTGAAAAAATTATTTTTAAATCTAAAATCTTTTCCCTTTATTTTTTGCAGTGTGCCTACTGGTGCTCTTGGAGTAGTATATCCACTTCTGATTGCAGCCATATGGGGAATTGGAGATGGGGTGCTCATGACACAACTAAATGCATTGTTGGCAATGTTGTTCAAGCATGACATGGTAATCCTTGTTTGAATTTATTTTTCATAAAGGCATCAACATTTTTTTTATTAGGTTTATGAGTTATATGGGTAAGATATTTAAATGAACTTATATATATCCTGTGTGATTTTGAACATGAACATGAACAGGAAGGAACATTTGCACAACTGAAGCTGTGGCAGAGTGCTTCAATTGCAGTTGTATTCTTTTTGAGTCCATATATCTCACTGCAAGCCATGCTTTTTCTAATGCTTGCTGCACTCATCTTATCATTAGCTGCCTTTCTATTCCTTGTGCTCAAACTAGAAAAAGCTTTCTCCTCAAATCACACTTGATTAAAAAAGAAAAAAAAAACCCTGCTGCTCTTACCTTTACCTTCTTCTCACTTGTTATTAATCCTTCTCTTTTATTGTACCAACTGTTTATTCCAGTTATATATATATATATATATATATATATATATATATATATATATATATATATATATATATTTCAACTTTTTCATAATTTGTTTACTTCTTTTAATACAAACCCGCATGAATTTCTCCAACCACTAGAATATTAAATGTGATAAGATTAAGCTAAGTATAAAACGTATAAGATTAAAGTTGCATTAGAAGAAAAAGGATGGTGAAGAAGTCAACGCTGAAGAGAGTTGACCAGATTGTTGCTGTAGTCCCAGAGGTTCTTTGCCAACTCAGGATCAGTTGCAAATTTGCTTGCTGGCCATTCATTGCAGTCCAGAAAGTACTTTCCGCTCACCCCTTTTAACCCTGGGTGGACTGCTACATAGCAACTTGTTGCTGCACCCTATACACAATAAAAAAAAAAAAAAATCATTTTTTACATAAAACATTGAATGTGAAATTATGATATGAATTTAGACATTTAGTAATGGAGGTAGAATAGTAGAATACCTGTGGGACATTTTTCCAAAAGAGATAAGTGAACAGCTTCAAGATTCCTGCCAAAAAACACACCACAGTTGTGGGAATGAATGAATACAGTTGTGTCTAATGTTGTTATAGAGAGAACTAGAAATAAAAATACACTTACTCATTTGCCAAAAGGAATGCCTCATGAGGTCTGTCATTATTATCCCTGGGTGTACCGAGTTTACTGTAATATTTGCCCCCTCTTCCTGAATTTCAATTTTGAAAGTTTAAATTATTGACAAATTGAAAAACATTAATTAATTAATACCTTCAAGCGTCGAGAGAGATCATTCGCGTGCAATATGTTAGCTAACTTGGACTGGCCGTATGCCCTTTTGTCTGAATAGCTGTTTTACAAAAAATATTATGGTCAAAAATGTCATTATATTAAACGAAATTAAAGAACAAATTTACCTATCTTTATCATTGATTTTATCAAATCTGATCCCTTTTTCGTAAGTATAGACATGAGCTACCGATGACAAGTTTACAATTCTACCCTCGATTCCGGTAGCTGCAGCAGTTTCCTTCATCTTGTCTAGTAGTAGGTTTGTCAAGTAAAAGTGACCTGCCACAACATTAATTCCCAAAAAACTAAGTTTTAGTAGTTATCTCTTTAATGGTGATATTCAAGAAGATAATTTAAAACGAAACTTTTGATTCCCATTTTGCCCTTGTAAGAAGAGTAGATGCCTACCTAGATGATTAGTCGCAAATTGCATCTCTATCCCATCTTGCGAGAGTTGATACGGGCAAAACATGATACCAGCATTGTTTCTGCAAATTTGAATAGAATGTTGTATGGATAAATAATATTTGTTTTTTTTAAATGATGTCATATTTGGGGAATTGGAAGGAAAGTACAAATGAGGATAAATTTGTGAAAAAGTTAGGACATATGTAATTACAAGAATTAACATGGTAGGTGTAAAGATTTTGGATGACTTACATTAAGATGTTGAGAGGGAGATTAAGAGCTTTGAAGCTATGAGAAAAGGTCTTAATTGACTTGAGAGATGAAAGATCAAGCTCAAGAACATCAATCTTAGCTTTCTCATTGTGTTTAACAAGAAGTTGTTTAGCTTCATTTGCAGCTTTCATGTTCCTTGCAGCTATAATCACATGAGCTCCCCTCATTGCTAATACTCTTGTCGTCTCTAACCCAATCCCACTTGCCCCTCCTGCATTTTTGATTTGTTCACATTTTAAAACTTCTTTTAGTCTCCAAATGTCCAAAATACCAGATGAGACTAAAAGAATGACAATAATAATATTAAACACATCTTGAAACCACTTCCATGTTTTACTAGTATGAATTGTGTTGGACCTTTCTTATAAATATTTTAGAAAGTTTTGCACTGAATTTGCAAGATTTTGGTATAAAAGGGTGTGTGCATACACGTGTACATGTGTTGTTATGTACACATGTGTATATAATGTTTGTATAAAACTTCGTCGGCTTACATCTAATGTTTTTGAATAGAACCAATTCAAATTATTGATTTTCATTAGTAAAATATAACCGATAAATTTTATCTTATTGGATATTTTATATTGGTTATCGAATCTATTCAATTGGATCCATCTAATGTTTGTTGAATTTCCATTCAATTATGACCAACTAAAATCTGATAGATAATTTCAAAAAAGGTTCTATTATTAATGTTAGAAAAAACATCATAAATGGTCCCTGTGGTTTCCCAAAATCTGAAGTTTAATACCCGTGGTTTAGAAATGTCATAGCTAGTCCCTGTGCTTTCAAAACTTTTGACAGTTGGTCCTTATCCCTCACACCGTTAGAACCCCACCGTTAACTCTTATTTCATTAAAATAATATAAGGGCAAATTTGTCTTTTCACGTGTGCCCTCTTCTTTATTGAGGGAAATGATTATGCTACTGTCTTCTTCACGTCAACTCCCAAATACTCTTCATCTCCCAAGAGTACAGTGACTTCATCTTCAGCAAATCACTCTCATCCAAAACACGAAATTGGGGTTTAGGGTTTACACAACAGTAAAGGACAATGGTGTTGTCAATATGGTGTTTACGTGAAAAAAATGTGTGCTTGAAGGACTTGCAATCGAGATACGGTAAGATTTTTCAAAAAAAAAAAAAAAAAAACTTCAGTTTTTGTTTTCCTTGAATGTATTCATGAAGATAAATCATCTTCTTTACCCTGTCTATTTTTGTGTTTGCAGAGGGATATGCCAACTATTTCACGTTGAAGATACACTATAGTGGTGTCTTCACCAAGTCACCTGGAAGGAAATACGTCGATAGTACTGTATCATACGTAGATGACGTTGACACTGATTTATTTCCAGTCCATGAACTCGAAGACATGGTTCGAGAATTAGGGTACAAAGGTGAACAAACCCTTTACTACCATTTCTGTATCCCTGAATTTCCCTTAGACTACGGGTTATTGCCTTTAGGTAATGACCAAGATGTACTTAAATTGGTTTCTTATCTCCCTAAACACAGACTTGTAAAGGTGTATATTGAAATTGGTCAGACCAGGGTACCTACTTATTTTAAGTCTCATTCCAAAGTTGTTATTGAGGAATTGGAACCTGAGAGCGTGTCACCGGAACTTAATAGAAAAAAACCTTGTAGAAGAGAAGTAGGATCGTGTAGTAAAAAACTTGATTTAAACCACCCTGCCAACCATGTTGTTGACCAGTCACAGGTAATAGATATGGATGAAAGTCAGGATCATTCAAAGACTATTGTTCCATATGTTATGTCACAAATTAGCCAACAAAGTAATGTCATTGATGTGAATGACGGAGTGATCATGGGCCACATAGAAGAAGTGTGTAAGGGTAATTTACTCAATCATGCAGAGGAACCAATTTGTGAAGATATTGGTGGAGAACAAAGTGTAAGACTTGATGAATTTGAAGCATTTACAGAGGATTATTCAAATTATGCTGACTTTGATGCTCAGTACAGTATACCAAATGGTGAAGACAATCAAGTAGAAATGGAAATTCTAGAGGGCATGTTAAGTGATGATAGTGGAGATGCTTTCTATAGTCAGAATGGAGATGGTTCTGATTCTAGTGGAGATGATTCTGATGATAGTGTGTAACATCCGGATTTTCAGAGGTATTATGGTGTAGGTTAATCTTGTGATTAAAGGAGGGACTCGATGAGTTGAGGGTCCAACTCGCCGAGTCGAGTCGGGTTTCTCCCGTGGATTTAATGAGTGGACTCGATGAGTCCGAGGAGAGGGACTCGCCGAGTAGGCGCTGATTAGAGAAACCCTAATTTCCGGGGTTTGAGACCTATTTAAAGGAACTTATAGCCTCATTTACGGCTACCCTTCCTTGAGAGCAAACCCTAAACGTGTATGGAGAGCCATGAGAGTCTTAGAAGCTAAAACTTGGAGTAAACTAGTGCATCTCTTGAGGAGAAGAGGAGATCACCCATCAAGGGAGCTAGAGAATCAGTGGATCTGGTGTAACTTCGTGCAAGGGCTTGAGTAAGAGGTAAAAGCTTGCACCTTTCTTGTTATTTTGCTTAGATCTTGTAGATATGGAAGATTAGGGTTTCTTCCACCATTGTTGGGACTTTGTATGCATAAGGTCTCTCATGAGGCCTAGACTTCAGATCTGGACCTTGTGAGGTCCAGAGAGTCCAAATATTATAGCTTTAGTTAACCATAGAAGAGTTATTGTGGTTAATCATCCTTGTTAGAGTTATATTGGCATTATGAGCTTTATATGCCATGTTTAAACGTAAAGCTTGCAGCTTTACGTAACAATCGACCCTCAAGATGGTAGATCTAGTGTTTGGGGTGATGGATCTGCCTTAAATCGTCTGAATGAACATTTGGTCTGAATGAACTCGCCGAGTCGATGAGCCGACTCGACGAGTTGGTTAGGGTTTGTCCCGAAGAACTGAATCAGGCAATAGCTCAACGAGTTGGGGGTCAACTCGACGAGCTGAGCTGGACTGTCACGAGAATTCTGAGGAAAGTAAGTGGACTCGACGAGTCGCAAGGGTGCACTCGACGAGTCGGGTCAAACATGGACTGTTGACTCGAGTTTGACTTCTGTTGACTTTGGGGCTTTGATCAACATAAGTAGTAGGGACCATGGAGGGGTAAGATGGTCTTTTATCCACTTCAAAGAGTTAAAGAGAGGAAGAATAGCCTTCGGTCATTAGAGTTGTGATTAGGGTATCACTTAGAGATATTCATCCCTTGTGTTAGGTGGAGGCTAGTTCGAGATCCGGGAGCGGGGTCTTTACTTGCTGCTGGTTAGGTGAGTCTTCTCACTATACATTACCTAGAGTGGTATTTATGTGTAGACCAGAGGGTCTTGTATGCTATGTGTATATATGAGATTATGTGCATTGTGTTATATGTATGCTATGTGTTGAACAGACCGGGCCGGAGGGCCCAACGATATAGACCGGACTGAAGGGTCCAACGACACAGACTAGACCGAAGGGTCCGACGAGCTATGACCGGACCAGAGGGTCCAACGAGCTACGGGACTGAAGGGTCCCGCTGAGACACATCGACCGGAGGGTCGTACTGTAGCCTCGAGTGGCGTATATGTTGTATGTAGTATTTTGGGGAACTCACTAAGCTTCGTGCTTACCGTGTTATGTGTTATGTGTTTCAGGTATCTCAGAGGATCGCGGGAAGGCACCGGCTTGATTGTACACACCAGAGAAAGAGTTATGTTTGAGGATCCTGGATTTTTAATAGAGCTGTGTTTTGTAATTTGAATAAACGAGATTTCCATACAATATGTTATGAAAAGTATGCGATTTTAAAATGAAAAATTTGTTTGAAAAATTACGGTGTTACATAGTGACTACATTGTACATGGGTCTAACTTGCAATTTGATGTGGATGTAGACATGAGTGAATTCCAAAGTGTTGTGGATGTAGATGAACATGGAATTTTAAACAAGCAAACCGAAAATGTAAGGAATGACATAGTTCATGAAGAGTTGGAAGTTATTCAAAGTGATGATTATCAGTATGCATGATTTTATGAAGATGAAAGGACAAAAATGCTTAAGGAGATGAGTAGGTCAACTCCATGCTCACATGGGGAGATCCATTTGAAACCATATAGGGTGGGGCAGTGTTTCAAAACAAAGAAGGAAGTTGTGGATTACATGCATTCACGTGCTGTAAATACAAGGAGGTCCCTATACTTAGCAAAAAATGATAAAATCAGAATAAGGGTCAAATATGGAGGTGTTGTGGGCCAATCTACTGAAACAGTTGAATGTGGTGGGCCATCAACTAGAAGTAAGGTAAAATGCAAGGGCAAAAATGTGATTACTAAAAAAGGAAAATGTCCTTGGGCAGTCCAAATCTCGAGGCCAGATGAGAATGAGGATTGATTGGTGAAAACAGTACATGATGTCCATAAATGTTTGCAGACGAGATCAGTTAAAGTTTGTACTTCCAAATATTTAGCAAACTTAATTGTTCCACAAATTCAGAGTAACCCTAAAATTCCAATCAAAGCTTTACACGAGGAGTTGTATAAGAAGCTGGAGCTTGGTATGTCAGTTCAAAAGGTTGCTAGGGCAAAGCAAATGGCTGAACGTGTGATTAGTGGGGACTACCAACTACAATATGGGTATATGAGGGATTATGCTTTGGAACTGCTAAACACTAATCCTGGTACAATTGTTAGGATAGTGTGTATCCTGAACCATGCTTGTCGACTACTATAAGAACTTTTAGAAGAATATATGTATGTCTAGGTGCATTGAAGTTGGGATTCAAAGCTGGGTTAAGGGATTTCCTGGGAGTGGATGGTACATTTTTGAAAGGCACATATCCTGGGCAGGTACTAACTTCTGTGGGTCTAGACTCAAATAATGGAATATACCCTGTAGCATATGCAGTGGTAGAGAGGCAGAAACAACTAGTTCTTGGACCTGGTTCATGGAACTGTTAGGAGAAGACTTGGAATTGGGAGCAAATTCAAATTTTACCTTCATTTCTGATAGACAAAAGGTATGTTTCACCTAATTATTTCTCATGTTAGTGTATTTAAATATTTAAAAAAGGGTAATCACTCAATTTAGGAAAGAAACTTTTCAAAATGTCTTTAAATTTCCGATATATGCATTTAAATATTTAAAAGGGTAATCATCTATTGTTTTCTTTATACCTACGGTAAGGTAAATCTTTTCTCATTTTACACTTTTGGCATAGATTTTAATTTTTGTTATGTATTTAGTCCGAACATTAAATTTTTACGAATACATCACATATTTAGTTTAATTTACAAATTTGTTTTTCTACAACTTCTTAAAACTTTTCTATAGATTTTTCAACATTTTTTTTAATTCTTAATTACTTTTACAATTTTATTTTTCAATTAATTTACAGTATTTTTACTATCATTTATACTTATTTTCAAAATAGTTATAAACTTGTTTTACAACTTTAATACAACATTTATACTTGATACATAACTTTTAATTTTTTTTTTACACTTTCATACAATTTTAAAACAACTGCTTTAAAACAAAAATAGTTTGTAAATGTTTTATAAAAAAGAAACACGTTTATATGTTTTAACTAAAAATTTATTATTTTCATATAATTTTTATCCAACTGCTTTTAAACATTTTAGTTAGAACGTACGAAAGTTTAAAAAGAGTATGAGAGTTTAAAAAGAGATGTATTAAAATTGTATGAGAGCGTAAAGAAATTTAAAAAGATATAACTAAAGTTTAAAATGTTACATCAAAAAATGTAAAACAAGTTTATAACTTTTTTATAAATAAGTACAACAAGTAGTAAAAATGTTGTAAACTAATTTAAAAAAAACTGTAAAATATTAAGAAAGAATATTTAAAAAGTTTGTAATTTTTTTAAAAGGTTGTAGAAAAATAAATTTAAAAATTAAAGTAAATTTAAGATGAATTTGTAATAAAGTTTAATGTTGGAACCAAATTCATAACAAAATTACAATGAGTTATTAATTGATTCTTTATATATATAAATTTTGAGTTCTCTTTGGAAGAGTACTCTGTTGAATAATCATACATTGACATAACTTTCCTTTAACTATCAATAAGTGTTTGAAGTATTTATACTTTTTTTTTTCACAATATCTTTTTGTATCGATTATAGATGTTTCTAAAATATAAAATATAACAATAAAAATATAAATTTCTTTGTCGATTGAGTTATTTTGCAAATTACATACAAGGGTTTTTGCATTGCTCATGAATATATAGTCTTAGGCCTCAAAATATAAATTACCAGCAAGAATATGGTTGCCACATCAATTTCGAATTAAATTATAGACTTGACCCACATTTCACATTTGATTAGTGTCCAGTGATATCAAATCCAGTGTCTAGAACGGTCACTCGGTGATATCAAATCCAATGTCCAAAACGATCACTGTGATAAAATTCATAGAATAAAATTGGTAGTTTGTACCTAGACAAAGAGTTTTATTTTCTCTGTGATAAGAGACTAGTGGTTAAGATACTTAATTTTGTATATGATTTTTATTAGGGGTGTAATCGAGCCGAGTCGAGTCGAGTATTGTTAAGCTCAAAACTCAACTCGGTTAAAAAAACTCGAGCTCAAAACTCAACTCAAGCCTTAGTTTCAAACTCAGACTCCAGCTCGATAAAGTAATCTACACTTTCGAGTTCGGCTCGGCTCGTCACAATTAGCTATTAAAAGTTAAAACAGATTAAGCTTGTAAGCTCAACTCGACTTTGCTCGAATATGTAAAATATGAATAAACCTAAGGGTAAAAATGTAAATATAACTAAGCTCGATTAAACTTGCGAGCTTCACGAGTCGATATTCCAATATTCGAGCCCGACTCGATAATATACTCGAGTAGCTTGAGCTCAACTCCAACCGAGTCAATCTCAAGTGTTTTTCGAGTCTGTCTCAGATATCTTACGAGTTGACTCCACTCGATTACATCCAAATGTTTCAAATTCTGATTTGCCCAAATTATTGTTAGTGCTTAGTGATTCACCTTTCATATGAGTGCAATTTATCGTTTTTATCACTTTTTTGGTTATATATTTTTTGGTTTTATAGGTAGCTTTTATTTTAATTAAACTTATATTAAAATATATAAATGGTTATAAATTTTGCAACTGTTAAATAAAAAACATTTTTAAAATTTTATAAAAAGTATTAGTATTTAAAAGTTAGCAAGTTTGTATCCTTTGTATATATTTTCTTCTATTTTCATAAAACATATACAAGTATATAAAAAATTGGAAATTCAGCACCAATTATATTACAACGTACGTTTTTTAATTTCACGAAAGTATAAATAAAAAATGTTCAGAGCCTTGTTTTTCTAAATAACAAATCTAATCTAACTTTATTGCCATCTATGTTCAAATGCGATTTGAATTCCGGATATGGTGAAGAAAATACAAATCTAATGTACTCATACTACCACCTATTTATACTTTCAATTTCATGAAAGTATAAATATAGATGTTTGATAACGGTATAATTATAAATTATTTTCAAAATATAAAAACTCGTCATGATTAATTATAAGACGTCGACAGAGAAATTTTAAAAATCGATCGACATTTGGTATTAAAGTTAATGCTATATCAAATAACTTATAGCATAAAAATGGTCTAGTTTTGAAATAGAGTAATGAGGTGTGTGTGTGCTGTAGGTCTACAAAATTAAAACTATATATACTTGCCGTAGATGGTATTGAAAATCCGTCCCAATAAATAACTTTTTCTAGACATAAGAATTAATGATTTGGTTAAAAGATGAAAATGAGTTTTCTTCCTATCATTAAGAAAATATAATACGTTTTGTCTCTTTTTTTTTTAAATCAATCTTTGTATATTTTTAGCGAAAATAATTATCGGTTGGGTCACGAAAATATGATGTATCTGCTTTAAACTAATTCCAAAGGGTTTAGTTAGTCCATTCACAAACATTCGGTGTACGATTGGTACAGGTTGCCCTGCTCTACAGCATGCTTGGAGTTTTCTCTCTCTCTCTCTCTCTCTCTCTCTCTCTCTCTCTCTCTCTCTCTCTCTCTCTCTCTCTCTCTCTCTCTCTCTCTCTCTCTCTCTCTCTCTCTCTCTCTCTCTCTCTCTCTCTCTCTCTCTCTCTCTCTCTCACACACACACACACACACACACAATTCAAAGTGTGTGAGAGAAAAACAAGAAGAGAGAACGATGCATGCGTTTCATGTTCGTTGATGTGTAGACGAAATCGAACTATAATCTCACAATATCTTTCAACGAAAGAGGATCGATGCATATACAGAATACAGAACGATTGATATATGAATTTATATAAATATTTAATTATACCTGTAATGACAACAGTGAGATCGGAGGCATCAATGGAAGCAGAAACTTGTTCAGCGGTGGAGGCAGATCCGAATCCACTCCGCCCTGGCCATCCTGATATCAACGATAAAACTCCCATTATAAACTAAGATTTTGGTTTCCTTTTTCAGTAGTTCAACTTCTATATATATATATATATATATATATATATATATATATATATATATATATATATATATATATATATGAGAGAGAGAGAGAGAGGTTAGCTGAATATTTATGTAGAAATCAATCCTTTGTAGATATATACAGAAATGAGAGAGAGATGACTTGGATTTGAAAGAGCGGGTGGAAAGTGTGTGAAACAAAAAACGGTGAATTTATTGTTCTAAGATGGATCATGGATGGGCCGCACAACAAGTTGAAACAACCAAATAATTTTTTTTAGAACAAATTACACGAATGGTCCTTAAGGTTTTGTTTTTTTCCCTAAAGTAGTTCTTACGAATTTTTTTCCCTAAAATAATACCTACGAAGCAAACATTGCACACAAATGATCCTTATGACTAACTTTGTTAACAGATTCTGTTAAGTGTGTGTGAAAAGACGAAAATGCCCTTTGTATTTATTTATTTATTTATTTTTAATATTTTGTTAATTTGAAATTAAAAAAAGTGGGGCCCTCTCTCTCTCTCTCTCTCTCTCTCTCTCTCTCTCTCTTTATCTCTTTTCCAAAACACACTGATGTGTCCTAATAGCTACACCTAATTTTACCTACTATCTAACTAGCTATTCGACTAAGGAGTGTACCTTTTCGCAAATAGTATAACACAAATAGTCGGGTATCGATCTCAGGGAACAGATTTAGTTATTTAATCTAATTGCTACTAAATTAACCTAAAAATCTAAGCAACAGTTTAAATGGTTTTTATCTGATTTTGCAAGTTCAGACAAACTTAAACAATCAACTATTTAAATTCAATCAATTACTAAGAACACTTATGTGTAGTTCGAATCCACTTTTCCTCAATGGTTAGCTATTAATTATGGATAATTCAAGTTTGTTACCAATTAATATATTATTAGCAATTTAGTTCCAAATATATTAATGCTTAAAAAATTCAAGTAGAACTATGTATGGTCACACATAATCAATTATTAATTATGAATGGAGCTATGTAAGATTGATTTAACAAACACAATTGTAGTCACAAAATATGTTCTCCAACACATCTAAAATTTAATACTTTAATAGCTCTAATAATCTAATGGTCACTAAATTACTAGGTAATCAAATTAATGCAGGTTAATGTTCACTGACTACACAGAATATGAATTTAAGCAATATAAGTATCAAATTTTAGCATGCTAGGTATAAACAATCAAACACAAGCTTAATACCAACTAGAAAAATCCATAATAAAATAACTACACCATGAGTTCAAGCTTCATCTAACTAAACAAAAGTAGCTAGATTTAGCTACTCATATCAACAATCAAAAACACAATATTCATTAATAAGAACATAGTAATTGTACCAAATTAAGAACAAAGTTATGATCTTTAACTTCTCTTCCTTCCTTGAATGTTAACACTAATTCTCTGCCTTCTTTTTCTCTGAAAATCAACATCTGAACTCTCTATTCTCTCTAGCCAACCTCCTTAATTCGTGAATACCAAGGATATATATAGTCTCGTGGTTTTTGAACTCCACGTCGTGGACTAGAGATTTACATCGTGAATTTGAATGTATCCTTATCGGGCAAGGATTCTGACTTCCCGTGTACTCATCTTCTAGAATCGCCCTTGCCACGTCATGTAAGTTAAGCCCACCATGTGAATTTAGTTTTTCCGTGGGATTTTCTATTCTTTAATTCTCTAAGCCTCCAAAGTTCCATTACTTGTCGCTTTTGGTCCTTGTTCATCAAGATTGCTCTTTCTGACTGCAAAATACAATTTAATCTTATAAGTACCACTTATCTTTGCAAATAACCAAAATATTAATCAAAATGTATTAAAATATTGCCTAAAGATGTGTATAAATATGACAATATCAAATACCTCACACTTATCTTTTGCTTGCCCTCAAGCAAAACTCATTAATTTTAACTTAAACTTTCATCACCAATATCACATAGAACAATCCATTTTGAACTCAGTCATTATACCAAGACCTCAATGCGCATATTTGTGTCTAAAAACCTAACAACTTCCCCAATCCTAGCCACTCACAATTCATATGAACCTTCACCCCTTAGCTTATATGACACTCATTTCTGCAACCCTCTGAATCAATCCTCAGAAATCTTTCTTAACCTCAAGGTATTTTTGTTAAGGTACCCAAGCATACATAATCTAGAAATTACAACTTTTGATACCACAATGGAGCTCTTTGGAATTCTCCACTTCTTTGAATAATTGATCTTTAATTTCTTTGAATTCACCACATTTTTGTTTGATTTTTGGTATCTTCAATTTTTGAATTTCTTCAGAAATTTTGATCTTTGAATTTATACTTTGTCAGCTCCTCAATTCTTCAACTTTTTGGTAATTTCTCTCTCTTTTTTTTTAAATATATCTCACTTTTTTCGCTCAAATCCTACATGCTTAAGCAAAGGATCTTAACTTTAACCTTTATTGGTTAGAGGTATTAGTCTAAGTACAATGACTATATAAGCTCCACTTGATAGATTTCAGGTTTAGGCTGCAAAACTTATTATGCCATATAAACTACCAGATTATCTTTCATATCTCATGGCTTTTCACTAGGAATGGAAAGCCATAAATACACTATAACATATGTTGGCTCAATTAAACATTTGAGCTTTCATCGGATCATCCCACACAACACTAGCAACTTAAGTTTAAACTAATACTAGATTTAATTTTTAGATTATTATTTCAAATCTATTTCTAAATTTTTAAATTTTAAATTTTAAATTTTTCTAGCAATTTACTTTTTCGACCCCCTACCTCACACTTATTACATACAATGCCCTCATTGTATGCATAAAATAAATTAAAAACAAGAAAATTGAGAAAAAAGAACAGACTCCCCTGGAGTAGTAATGACAATATCGAACTCTGAGACTTGTGTGGAAAGCTGTATATTGTTGGAAACAGTACTTTTGGACCTTCTTCTTGTGAATGCAAATGTGCCGGGTCGAATGAAATTAAGGAACCATTCTTGAAAAATGTGTTGAACCGCTGCCACGACGTGGGAAAGCAAGGCCACGTCGTGGTGTCGAGCAAATGGTCATCAAGGTCGAGCAAAATAATGTCGCTACGACGTGGTTTAGGATGCCACATCGTGTTGTAGTCAGATTCAGTCGCGGTTAAAATTTTTGCCACGACGTGTTGATGATGTCCACGTCGTGGTGTCTTCTCAGAGAATCTTCTAAGATTGAAACAGGTGGGCATCAACTCTATGTAATGTGTAAGACCATTCCCACTCTTCTTTTCAGTAAATAAGCTTCAAAATTCTTTTCTCTTCATTATGTGGGAACCCCACACTTATTTAAAAACTTGTTCTTCAATTATGATCTTCAAAAATCGCACGGCTTCTTTAAATTAGGCTCCTTCACTGCTTCACTTTCATTCAACACTAAAAAATAAGATCAAGAACTAGAGAAACACATCATCATTCGGTCAAGGTAAAATAAAAATAAAATGAAAAATAAAACTAAAACTAAATAAAAAAGAAAAGAAAATGCAAACTCTAAAAACATCAGGTTGCCTCCCGATAAACGCTTCTTTTTGTTGGAGTCATGAGCCAGACTCCATGTCACTTGCATGTTGAATCGTTTGTAGTTTCAATCACTAATTGCACATTCTATTCACTCCACCTTTTCTTGTACGCTTGCACTCTCCTAAGATAAACCTTTTTAGAATTCTCTTTTTTAACCTTCGCATCACCTTCTTCAAGCTTTCTTTTCACTCCCTTATTTTTCATAATAAGCTCATGTTTCTTCTCTTCTTTTTCTTCACTTTTTAGTTCCATAGTGGCAACCTTCCCATTAACAATGATTGGTGGTTCCAAGACTTGGATATCTTCTTCCTCACCACTTGACACAAAATCTTCGTAACTTTCCTTGCTAACTAAAGAACTTGGAGTTTTGTAAGCAAAGACTTCGAAAACCATTGGAATCGATGCTCTAGGATTTGTACGCTTAACTTCTTTAATGGCTTGAATCTCCTCTTCCATTAATTTCTCCAATTCCTCAAGCTCATTTTCTTCATCAATCTTGAACACTTCATCTTGAGCATAATTATTCTTGATTCCATCCGCCACTCCAAAGGTCATTTCTTCATCTCCAACTCGCAATGTAAGTTTAGACTCGCGTATATCCACCAAAGCTCGCACAATATTGATTAAAGGTCGTCCAAAGATTATTGGGACATTGGTGTCTTCCTTCATGTCTAAAACAACAAAATCGATTGGAAAAACAAATTTCCCAATTTTCACCAATATATCCTCCACGATACCTCGAGGATGAGTCACTGAACGATTTGCCATGTGAATCGTCATTCTTGTAGCCTTTAAATTGGGAAGATTCAACTTTTGATAGAATACAAAAGGCATTAGATTTATGCTTGCCCCAGAATCGGCTAAAGCATAAGTCTTCACGTTGTTTCCAAATTCACACGAAAGAGTGAGGCGTCGAAGATCTCCCAACTTCTTTGGTAACTCCCCAATATCACTTTAGAACTTTGCTCACTAAGGATCACCTTAGAACTCTTCTCCAATTGTTGGCGAGTATCTAATAAGTCTTGTACGAACTTAGCATATTCAAGAACTTTGGACAATGATTCAATGAAAGGAGTATTTATTGAAATACCCTTCACTTACTTCATAAACTTCAAGTATTCCTGCTCCAGTGGGTGAATATTAGCTCGAGATGGAAACGGTAAAGGAGGACGATAAGCTTGAACATCATCAAAAAAATTTTGTTCAGGCCCACCCCACGCCGTGGGCTTATGCTCACCACGTCGTGAATTCGAAGTTTCAACAACAAAATTTTCTTCTAGTTTTGACTTCTTCGACTTTGGTCCGGATTGATGTGGATCGACTTCAAGGGCTTCAAGGAACTCAGAGATGGTATCCTCTTCAGTTTCAATCACCATAACATGTGGTTGAGG